TGTGATCACATCGTTAAAATTTGTTTTATTCTCTGAAGTCGGATCAGCTATGAGCCAAACCGTGTAGCTGTGTTAAAAGTTTGCTTTGCGAGTGGAACCATTTTAAACATGCCCTATTTGTGACAACTGTGGTAAATGTTGAGGTCTAAAATACAGGCATTGGCATGTAATAGTCAGAAATGAAGTTCCTTTTGTCCTCAAAGGCTTCGTTAGCCGCCGTCATGGCAAAAGTAACATTTGGGAGTAAACCGAAATATGACAGCTACCTCAGAGGCGTTACGTAGATGTGAGAAAAGCTAATGTAGCGAAAGCATGCGCATATAAAGTTCCGTGAGGATTTTGAGGTTAAACTTCTAAGCGGCAAAGTAAAGTACTTTGACTGACAGTACGTTGTCTCCAACAGGACATGTAGTGTGTGAAGTCTGAGGGACAAATATGGGTATGTTCTAACCAAAAAAATGATATTTACTGACGAGGATACGATTACTTAAGTTTTTTAACGAAACTGATGTGATCGGAGACTTATCACCTAAAAAACATCCTGAAGCAGACATAATCTGTCACCAGGTTAAGTGAGAACAGCAGTAGAGTCTGTCGTATGACTGGACTGCTGGAATTGACGAAACCTGACCTGACTGGATGTCAAACATCATGTTGTTAACGTTGTCAGACCTGTTCTCGCTACAGCGGTAGGCTCTTCTTGAAGGGTCGTCATGCCGCTGTTAGGAAATGGAGACCACAGAAAAAACTTTTAGTTAGTTCGTGTTGCTCTTCTGATTCTGGTTAGAAAAGTTTGTAGCCAGTTATTAAAAGGAAGATGCATTAAAATGGTCGACTCAGTATCAATGTCGCTTTCGCCCCAGTTGCAGCGTCTTTACTTAACGACATTTTTGTAATAAATATCGAGGTCGCTCTTCTGATGTTGATGTATTTTGTGCACCTGGAAATATCATACTTCAGAGTTACTAGCAGCAGTCCGTGAACATGTCGTCCAGAAGTACAGGATGTCACTCAGATGCTATATATTAATAACAGAAGTTGTCAGAATCGATGACAGTAAAGAGTGAACTCCGCGAAGGAACGTTCTGTCTCAATTCCTCGATCGTTTTTGACAAAGGCATTGCCATGTAATGCAACCAGGGTGAGGATCGAGGAACAAGGTTGACGCTGTTGAGAAGTGCTTGCCGTCTGTTAGTGACTTCGTCTTGCGGAATTCTCTCTGAATCTGATATGATGTGATTGGCATGTGAATTCAAACATACGCAAAGCTGTTATCAATATTTTCCCGATACCCTGCTCAACGTACTTGCGTAGCGTTACAGAAATATGCGGTGTCTCTACATATTTTTGATGGCGGGAAGATGAGATTCACCGCCAAAGAGCGGTGATTAACGAAGTGTCTCCTTGATCTCCTTGAGCTACTCCAAATCGTCAAAATCTAGACAGATTAATTCTGACGACAAAGCACTTACTGTT